TCTGAATTTACTAAGACTATGCATTAGTAAAGAAAATAGAGTCTGGCTCAAGGTGGCAGACTAGAATTTTAATTCTTCTCCTTGGATTCTTTTAATGAGGACAGCCTTGAAGTGCAGCTAGAGCTGGGGAAAAAGTGCCTGATGGGGGTACAGCCTGTCCCCTGAGCCTGGTGGTGACATCCCCACCCTGCATCTGGATGAGGTAGATGGTGAGAAAAACAAAGCAGACTCTTCAGCATTGCTGCCCACCAACACTTGGTCAGCTCCAGAAAAAATGAGCTGTGGCAGCAGTATTATCTGTATAAGGGCAGGAAGAGTATTGCTCATGCAGTCAGTCAGGAATTATTCTACTTTACCGAAATAACAATGGAAAGAAAGTGCAGCTGCTGCTCTTGTGTCTCTTCCTATTGAAGGTGAGGGTAGAGAAGGTTCTTTCACAGTGTCGCATTAGCAGGGCTGCTGCCAACCCAAGGCTTTAATAATTCACACTGCCTCGTCACAGACAATGAGGTCCTGACCCAGAATGGATCATATGTTTTACTATTTTGCTTTTTCAGGCATATTTGCTGAAGATTGTTAAAACTTTTTTTTTTTCAGATGGAATGTATTTTATTTTTCTTTTGGCATTCTGTGGGAAAGTGTATCCTTTCTGTCCTTGCTTGCAACTTATACCTTATATAACACTTTGAAAAAGTGAAAAATATTCTTGGAAATACTCTGTTTGGAAAAGATCCAAAGTCCCTCAGTATGTTAGCAAGCTCATCCGCTCCCGGTCAACAGTGTGAAGTTGCCATGATGACTATAATTGCTAAATGGCAGAGGAAGCTGAAAATAGAAGAATTAGAAGCATGTTGTTGTTATCCGCAGAAATCATAGCAAGAGCCATCTTAAAAAAAAAAAACACAACAACGGTGATTTCAAAGCCCAGTGCTGTCCCAGCAGAGTGTTTTGTGATAGTTAGAGCAAATACTAAGTTGTTCGTCCAGGCCCACTGCTTCTTTATTACTTAAAAAATTTGCCTTGTTAACTTATTTGTCTGTTACAACCGACGAACCTCATGCTTGGTGAGGTAAATCCTGCCCTGTGCAGCTGCTGTCTGTAGCTATTTCTAGGTGGTATGGCTGCAGCAGGAGGTGGTGGGTAGTTCTGGTGGAATAAAGCTGTGAACACATGGGACGGAGCCACAGAACAGGATGTAAGAGCTCCCAGTCTTGTAAATACTCAATTATGTACTTTGCCCCCCAAAAGCAGTATCATTTACTCAATAGTATCTAATGGCTCCTTTGGGAACATTACTGTCTATTATGACAAAGCCCTTACTTAGTGTGGTTTTAGTTTGTGGATCATTGACCTACTCAAATCCAATGGTGCCGTTAAAGCATCTACACGAAGCAGGGCTCTGTGGGTGAGGGGCAGTGGGGGGAGCCAGGTGCAGCAGGGTTTGTCTCACCTGTGACAGCCCCACTGAAACACTTCCCGGGTAAAAGGGGCTGTGCATATCCAGCAATTCCAGCTGTTGATAATAGAGAGGTTAAAATGGGATTTGTTTGCTGTTATTACACAGGCCAACGGCATCCTGGCTTGTGTCAGGAACAGCGTGGCCAGCAGGAGCAGGGATGTAATCCTGCCCCTGTGCGCAGCACTGGTGACGCCTCCCCTAGAGCCCTGTGTGCAGGGCTGGGCCCCTCACTGCGAGCAAGACCTTGAGGGGCTGGAGTGGGTCCAGAGGAGAGCAACGAGGCTGGGGAAGGGACTGGAGGGAAAGTGCTGTGAGGAGAGGCTGAGGGATCTGGGGGTGTTTAGCCTGGAGAAGAGGAGGCTCAGGGGGGACCTTAGCACTCTGTCCAACTGCCTGAAGGGAGGGTGTAGTCAGGTGGGGGTCGGGCTCGTCTCCCAGGCAACGAGTGACAGGATGAGAGGGCACGGCCAGAAACTGTGTCAGAGAAGGCTTAGGTTGGATCTCAGGAAACAATTCCTCATGGAGAGGGTGCTCAGGCGTTGGAATGCCCTGCCCAGGGAAGTGGTGGAGTCACCGTCCCTGGAGGTGTTTAAGGAGAGGCTGGATGTGGCACTTAGTGCCGTGGTCTGGCTGATGTGGTGGTGTTGGGTCATAGGCTGGACTTGATGATCTCAGAGGCCTTTTCCAGCCTCAATAATCCTGTGATTCTGTGATTTTTCGACTAATGCTTTTTACTTTTCTTTGCAATCAAATTTGTTGTTTTGATTTTTTTAAAGCCAAGTTCTTTATGACAGAGGTGATTATTGTGCAGGCGAGGCTATGGAGAACTTCAGAGGTCTATTAATGTTTCGGGAGCTGTAGACAGGACAGTAAATCAACATGTCAAGGAAAAACTTTGGATCATTATCTAATCTACCTCACTGTCTTAATCCTTTGGTATCTTTAACACCTGAAAGCTATTATTAATATACTATTTATTACTGTGCTTATATGCTTCTATTACCAGCACAGTAACTTTCTAATCCTCAGTCATGGCATCCGAGCACAACACTCTGTTATGGTTGTCTGCACCATGCACGTATGTGTACCTGCTAGATGCACCAAGGTGTATGTGATGTGGATCTTATTATTTTCCTTTGGAAATACCTGTGGAACAAGCAATAATATGATCATACGGATAGTATTTGCAATATAACCCCAATTCTTTGCTATTTTAAAGCAAACTACCTTAACCTGGCATTATCAAGCCCATAGGATGTGTGAGGAGCCTGGGCCAAAGGAATAATGTCACATCCCAAGAAACCCACCAACACCTGAAAGAGCTGCTCATCTTCATGTTTAATGTGCAGTAGTACAGCAAGCCAAGATACAGCATTTTGTCCTTGGAATGACTCCCACCCACAGGGCACCTGGAAGGTTTTGGTTTTACTCCAGTTGAGCCATACAACCCAAACATCCGCTGGTTAGACTGTCAGAGAGGGTGAGATGAAGCTGGTGGGCTGGTGATGCTGGAGCTGACAGCGCGGTTATTGCTACATGCAGGCATTGGAGACTGACCATCCTGGCCAGTTGCTTGCTCTGGTCACTCTTACATGAACAAGCCTCACTGGCCTGGAATAACTCCAGGGTGACAAGCATGCTGACAGGCGCAGTCTAGTGAAGTTTGGCGGATCATCCTGAGAAATGATCACTTCCAAATTTTGCTCCTCCTCTTTGCCATAAGTTATCCAGTGTGGTATGTTAAAGCCTCCTTCATCGACAACTGAGATTAAAATGGTGGATTTTGTAGTGAGGTAGCTGTAACATTGGCATGTGCTTCCTTTCAACAGAGGGTAACCCCCAAACAAGCAGACAACTGGAGACAATAATTTCTTATATTGCCACAGGAAGATCTGTCAGAGCTTATTTTTCTGTGCCCTAAACTGTGGCCAGAAATCCTGTCCCATCAGAGGGGCTCTTGGCATCCCTGCCTGGTACACCCAGAGGGAGCAAGATTGCCAGTGATGGGGAGAGAGCGGGGCTTGGTCTCACTGCTTTCATGCCTGCGGTACCAGGGAAGAACAGAAATGCCTCAGTTTCACCAGAGAGATGCATGGGTTAAGGACCTTAGACATTTACCATATTATCACCTTAAGTTAAAACGAGCATCTACATCGTTGACAGAGTTTTTTTCATAGTACAATTAGATTGGCATTTAATTCTAGGTAGTTGAACAACCATATTTTCCCAATATGGGCTAAGATACAGAGGTCTTGTGCTATCCAAAGGTGAGTTAGAAAGGAGCCAATTTTGATGGCACACACCATATCTTTTCCACGTGCGGTTACTTGCCCCAGATTTTGGCTTTTGGTAGTGCTGATGCAGTTCCTTGTGGGGTCAGCTGTAAATCAGATCTTGGAGGTAGTTTAGATGAAAAATAACTCTTTGGATGGTTTATTTGTAAAATTCAGTTCAGTGATCTGTTTTCCAGCATAGCTGCAGGTTATGGCTTCAAAATATGAAATACTCGCCTCTTAAATTGTTCCCATATGACTTGTTTCCAATATGACACAGGTATTCGTGCAACCACAGGGTGAGCTGGCATAGGAAACTGGTCTGACTTCAGAACAAAAAGTAAAAGAAAAATAACTTTTTTGCAAGGTTGTTTATTAAAGTCAGGCCGGCTCCAGGTCCATTTGCAGCAGGAACCAGCAGCAGGGAGGAACATCCCCAATTACTACTGGGGCTGAATGCTGGGTTCTCCAAAACCCTATCTTCCCAGAGAATGTGCATATCTGATTCAGAAATGTGGAGCCAGTGTTAAGAAGGGAATTTCTCAAGTCAGTTTTACCAACAACGCAAAGATACTATGGAAGTACGCAAAAAAACCCAGAGTGCACAGCTGTCCAGTATGATGAACTGGTCCAGTGCTTGGAGGTGCATTCAATGCCCTCTCTGCCTGACACATTTCTGAGGTGCTGTGCAGGGATCCAAGCACAGTTCAGCTCTGCATTACGATTGTCATTATTATTGCCTATTTATTGCTACAAGGATAGTGATAAGGTGAAGACGAATTAGCTAAAGCTGTAAAGTTAATGCTTATAGACTAAAAGTACATTAAATCACAGAATGAGCACTTTAATCTGTGAGTTTGAGGAGGCTAAACTTCTGTGCTGTTGTTTTACAGATTTATTTATTTTCCGTAACTTTCTTTAATTACTTTTTTTCACTGGCATAGTTTACCATATGTAAATTATCTGAAGAAGGGACTTTTTTCACTTTTTGTTTTGTGTCTGGATATGACCTTCCACAGCGAGGCCTTGGATTCTTGATGGGTTCACATGCTTTACTACAATATAAATAATAAATCCACTGTGAAATTTTCGACAGCCTAATGTTGGGATAGAGTGAAAACATGTCCCAGTCTTAAGTTCTTCACTTTCCAGGGCGAAGAAATGCTATTTTCTCTGTTTAGAATTGATGCAGTTTGGCAATGAAATGTAATTTAAACAACCAGCTGTTAATACTACTGACTCTTTATCTCCTCCTTTTCCCTTACCAGATCTACGGAAAACTTTTGAGCAGGAGCCCTTGGGGAAAGAAGTGTCCCTGGAGCAAGAAGTCCTGCTTCAGTGCCGTCCCCCCGAAGGCATCCCAGTAGCTGAGGTGAGCAGCTGAGGTGTCCTGGCACTAGGACATCCTAACTAGGGGTGGATTGGTGGCTGATGGTGCAGTGAGTTAGGGCATGGTGTGATGAATGGGTGATAACAGAGAGTTGACTGACTGCTGCTTGTAGACAAGATTGATCAGAAACTGATTAATGACTTTGGGTTGTGGTGTCTGGCTGGGCAAAGCTGCAGGTGGTTTGGTTTCATTGCTTTCTACCCTTTCAAAAATCACAGTTATATCTGGCATTCAAAGGACATGTAGGTGGTGGAGCATATTAATACCAGACTTCTATCCTTCCTTTTCCTTTTAAAGAAGATGAAATATTTCACTTACTCTGAGGCGTACCTTTCAGGCATAGTATAAAGGCATTTTAATTTTTTGTTTACTGGATTGTATTTCCTTCCCATGTTTGTGCATGTGCTCATGGACATGTGTGCGCCAACCAGCTTGGCACAGAAGGATGTGCTGAGGTCCAGTGCTGGCTCCCAGGTGAAGCAACATGAGGTGGGGTCGAGTAGGGATTAGGCTGTGTCTGCCTAATAATCCATGTTGAGGGATTTATCTGGTTTTCCCACTAGTATTTAAATAAACGCAGAGTGGAGAGCCTGCCTTTCTCCTGGCAGGAGCAAGCCTACCCTTCAGCAAAATCCATGTCCACCGGCAGCACCGTGTGTCCCTATGTACAGGAGCGTCCCAAAGTTAGTGGTGACTCCAGCTTCAGACTCATTGCTCATGGGAGGGAGTGTCTCGGAATCCCAGGGGGTCCTCTGAAAACCTAATTCCACTATGGCTGTTAAGAGAAAAATTGATTGTTAATGATGGTAATTCCTCTATCTGAATTCTCCTCGGTTTTCCTCTGCCACGCACAGAAGAAACTGTTGCCAATTTACATTAGGATAAGTTAGACTGTCATGGCTAAGTAGCAAAGTGGTTGTCACTCAGCGCTGATGACTGATTTCTCAGGAGATGAGGCTTAAAGTGTTATCTCCCCATCTAACCCAAGTTTAGATTTAATCAGAATTGCAGAAACGTGTCCACAAACATCAGAAGAAATAATTAGCATAGAAGATTTTTCCCATTTTCTTTTTCTGTAGGCTGTTTTCTTTCTCTGTTAAGATCCCCGAAACTGCAAAGAGCATTTGGGTCTGCCAAGCCCAGCTCACTGACAACTGTAATATTAATCAGTTGGCTTTCCCCAGGAACATAGCAGCAGTTTTTTATTTTCCTTTCTGATGCTTCTTTGCATCAAATCAACTTGCCATTGTGCCATGACAGGAGTGTTTGCAATGGGATATGTTGTTCAGGCAGTGCAGGGTAGTGCTGGGGAACTTCATTACCTTTGCTGGAAACAGAAATTGATGATGATGGGTAGTTTGTCCGAATGCAGTGCTACAAGCACCTCTGAAATTTCAGCAGCCGGTTTGGTTAATCCCTCAGAAAAGTCTGTAATGCCCTGTTGGGCGGTTGGCACCCAAACAGCATAATTTAACATGATGCGTGGAAGTGATCTCTGAAGAGATCCTCTCTGGGCTGCACTTGTAATAATTGCACTTTTTCCTGCCTTCTAGTATCCTGGCTTACTCTGTCAATAGCAGAGATTCATGTCTGTACATTAACTGGTTTTGAATCTTATTTGTACTGTGGTTGGGGCAGACACCAATTAACACTTGGCTGGTTCAGAAATCATATACTTCCTGTCTGACATTCAAAAGAACTGTTCTCAATGTTGTTTTTTCTCCTCTTCTGACTTCTGAAGTCAGAAGGAGATCAAACACACAGATTGGACAGCCGCCTAATACAGCCTCTTTGTAGGTTTTTTCCAACACTATTAAAAGAACAAAGACCTGAACACTAATGAATATGAATACCTTAATGTGACACTTTATTACAGCCACTTGCTGAAGCTGGTAAGATAAATTAAAAAATAAAAAAAGATGAAAGGTAACTTGGTGGGTTGAAGGATTACATGATTATTTTAATTTAGAGTTGAATGAGTTCTTTGTTTAAGATTTCATTTATTTGTTCAGGGAAGTTTCTGATATGATGGTACAGGTAACTAAGTAAGAAAGGACCTTGGAAAATGCAGGCACAGACTGAGACTATTTTCAATGTTGTTGAAAGACTGCTTTGATTCCAAGTAGAGAAGGGTAATGCACAGGCTGCAGCTGTGAGCAGCATTTCCAAATGCTTTGGTGATCATGTAGCTCAGACTCTTCCCAATCTGGGCACTGTACTTTGTTTGGTTTTATTTCCACTCAGCAGCTTCTGAAGTAGTTACTGGATTTAACAGAGGAAGAAAAGCTTACACCGTGAAATTGTAAAAAATACACATTCAGTGTAATGTAATGCTGGAGTCCAGAGTCACATAATCTTCCTCTTCGTTTTTCTTTTTGATTTTACTCTCCTACTTCATTTTGGTTTGGAGTTTTTTTTGGTTGGTTGTTTTTTTGTGTTGTGGGGTTTTTTTGGTCTTTTTCCTGGTATTTCAAAGTGGTGGGAACGACCATCTCAGGGATACATTCTGTCATCTTTTTGGTAGCTGGGGAATTCAGTCTTATCATTCCCAGCATATTTAATTGCAATTAACTGTGTCAAGCTCTTATGGCTTAATGCTAGAGCAGATCTTACTATTACTGAAAAGCTGAACCACAGAGCAGCGTACAGCTGCTCCAGGGGACAAGAAGGACAAAGACAGAGATGGGCAGGCAAAGCTTTTAGGCAGCACCTATCAGTGTCTCAGATCCACTCGGACATGATGAACATTAGAGTAGGCTCAGATCATGGCCACTAGACAAAAAAATTTAAAAAAGACCAAGATCCAAATAGAAGAAGGTGTGTTAACACCAACATCATGGCCTGATGTCAAATCAAAGTATGTCTTGCTTGTTCACTTGGGACACATTAAGGAACCATGGGTTTGCTTGATCTCTGGGAAAAACAGATTAGCTTGTCTGTTGTTATATACTCCTGCCCACCAGCCTCAGCCAGCATCCAGCTGCTCTGTGGCATGCCTCCCCACTCCTGGTTTTATAGACAATGTCAAACTGAGCCTACCTACAGGTTCTGAAACACTGAGGTAGATGTTACATCTTTTCCAGTGCATGGCCCGGGCAAGCAGCAGAAGGACCAGCTCAGACACTTTTATACTGAGGTTTCCACACATAGCTGAGAAGTGAAGGAGTAGACACATATTCATGCTTTGAGGGAGGAAAAAAAAGCAATGGACATAAAAGTGAACAGCACCTTGCCCTAGCTCTATGCTTCCCTGCCTTCTGCCTTTTCCTCAATGGGAGGAAAATAGACAAGGGAAGAGCAACTGACATAATTTACTTGGACCTGAGCAAAGCCTTTGATGCTGTCCCACATGACATCCTGGTCTCCAAGCTGGTAAAATATGGGTTTGATGGATGGAAAATTCAGAGGATAAAGAACTGGCTGGACGGCCACACCCAAAAAGGGGCTGTCAATGGGTCCATGACCAAGTGGAAGCCAGTGACAAGTAGAGTCCCTCAAGGATCAGTTCTGGGACCAGTCTTGTTTAACGTCTTCATCAGCGACATGGACAGTAGCATTGAGCGCACCCTCAGCAAGTTTGCTGATAACACCAAGTTGTGTGGAGTGGCTGACATGCTGGAGGATAAGGATACCATCCAGAGGGATCTTGACAGGCTGGAGAGGTGGGCCTATGCCAGCGTCATGAAGTTCAACAAGACCAAGTGCAAGGTCTTCCATCTGGGTCGGGGCAGTGACTGGCTTGAGAGCGGCACTGAAGAAAAGGAGTTGGGGGTACTGGTGGACGAGAAGCTCAACATTGCGCTGTCAGTGTGCACTTGCAGCCCAGAAAGCCAATCGTATCTTGGGCTGCATCAAGAGGTATGTGGCCAGCAGATTGAGGGAGGTGATTCTCCCGCTCTGCTCCACTCTTGTGAGGTCCCACCTGGAGTACTGCGACCAGTTCTGGAGCCCACAGCACAAGAAAGATATGGATGTGCTGGAGCACATGCAGAGAAGGGCCACAAGGATGATTAGGGGGCTGGAGTACCTCTCCTATGAAGACAGACTGAGAGAGTTGGGGTTGTTCAGCCTGGAGACAAGAAGGCTCTGAGGAGACCTTATTGTGGCCTTCCAGTATCTTAAAGGGGCCTACAAGAAAGCTGGTGAGGGGCTTTTTAGGATATTGGATAGTAGTAGGACTGGAGGGAATGGATTAAAACTAGAGATGTTTCGGTTCAGATTGGACGTTAGGAAGAAGTTCTTCCCCATGAGGGTGGTGAGACACTGGCACAGGTTGCCCAGAGAGGGGGTGGAAGCCCCATCCCTGGAAGTTTTTAAGGCCAGACTGGATGGGGCTCTGGGCAACCTGATCTAGTGGGGGATGTCCCTGCCCATGGCAGGGGGGTTGGAGCTAGATGACCTTTCAGGTCCCTTCCGACCCTGACAATTCTGATTCAATTCTATGATTCTATGAACAGGATAAGGTGACGAGATAAGCAGTCTGACCCACCATACTTGGCGGGAGCTGCTGGTGCTCAGCAGAAATCTGATAGTTGCAGCTCTCTGGTGTCAACAGAAGCACCCTCTTCTGTGTGTACATTCTTTCAAACCTAGCCTGAGAAGGCAGGAAGGATCCCATTCTACAACAGTCCAACAGTAATGGCAGAGTTATTAGCAATTAACCCCTTAGCTCATTAAATCTCTTATTTGAAAGATCATATTACATATGATAAAATATAGAGACACCAAGTCGCATGAAATTAGCTCGTTGCAATAGGTTATAGATCAAAACATCAGTGAGATGTAAGATCAGTTAACATGCTGTAAGCTGACAGATGAACTTTTGCATCGAAATGTATGATTTGCAGTGCCTTTAACAGAGGGGGATAATTGCTTCTTTAATTATAATTGAGGTGTTTCACAAAGTAGTTTAACTGTAAAACAGATTGTAATGTACAGTTAGGTGACCCAGTTGAGTTTAAAACTGTGTGCAATATTTATCC